GAATCTGAAGTCTGACTTGTTGCTCTTTGTCAGTGCTATCCCCTTGTTGCCTCATCCTTTCTAAGGAAATGAAAAAGGTTTTACAGGATACTCAGTTTAGCCAAGTCAGAGGCTCTCCAGGTAACATAGGCAAGAAAAAGGATACACTCCTCTACAGTTTTAATAAGTACTTATAAGTTTCCAAGAGGAAGAATTCAGATTTAGAGTGACTGATCTTGGCTACTTCTATGCTGGGAGGCAGACATTCCTTTGGTGTCATCTTAAAGAGACTGAAGCAGCAGGACAATAGCTGTTGGCAGTTCCATCACATAGCCCTGTGAAATGTATTAAGTAAACTAGAGAAAAACTATATCCCTCATGATGAATTTCAGAGTTATATGCATTTGTATTCCCAGCACCTAGAAGAGTGCGTGCCCCACGGTAGGAATTCAAAATGTTGAAGAACAAAGAGAAACTGATAGTAAGTATATTATTAGGCATATATATATATAACAAAATGGATCTAAAAATCTGTTTTCATAGGAATCTGTGGGTTTACACTGTCAGGATTTAAGAGTGGGAGAAAATGAGACATTCTTCCCAAGGAAATATGAACCAATAAATTCATGATATGATAATACTTATCATTTTTAAGTACTTATTATGTGTTAGGTGCAATGTCTCATTTAATCCACATCATAACCCTTAAGGAAACTGAAGCTCAGTGAGGTTAAGTCACTTCTCCAAAGACATAGCTGGCAAGTGACAGAGATTTAATCTGGGATTCAATCCAGACTTGTGTGACTCCAAACCCTGTGTGTGGCTCTTTTCACTACACTTTATTAGGGAGAAAAACAACATCATTACTGTCCATAGAGAAAGTCCTGCAACCTCTCTCTGCATTATTATTAAACTAGAAAGTTAAAGATTTCAGACCTGACTAACCAGAGAGAAGTGATTTCTCAGAAAGTCCAGACCTAAATTCTGTATCTCACACCCCTATATATATATATTTTCCTTGTTACACTGTAAATCTGGAGCTCAAACTCAGGCAATTATGTGCTGGTTATACAAAACCAACAAAGAAAAATCCTCACATCCCCCTTCTCAGAAGTCACAGAAATTAGGCATCTTTAAGATGAAGATCTCTAATGGAAATCGGGTTTCTGACTGGCTGATTTCCACAGAATGTATCATAGCATTAAAAGAGCCAAGGCCTGGGATTTATCCTCAGTTCCCGGGCAAAAGCCAGTAAAACAGCCATACAGGACAGAGTTGAGAGTCTCCATACCAAAAAAGATACAAGTGAGGTACTAAGTCACAAGAAGCTGGTGTTAACTCAATGGTATATGCCCAGATTTAAAAGTTCAGTTATTATAACTTGTGGAGGCACGATGGAACTCCCCAGCGAATCTGAAGTTGCACTGGAAATTTTAGAGTGACAATATGTAAGAAAAGAATTGAGAAGTCAACGGGATGGAGTAAATTTACAGGGGTGCCCAGAATTGCTGAGATCACAGAAGAAAGAGCATATAGATGAGAAACGTTTTGGATCTGAGATAAAGGATAGGATCCCACACAATGGGGACCTGTCTTCAAAGGCAGAGATGTTAAAGCATTAAGCTATAGGAGGAATTCCACTTCTGAAGGGGAAAAGGTTGGGAGGAAAAGAGGACTGACTGTATCTACAAAAAGGGGTTCCTAGAGAATATAGTAGTAACTCAATAAAGGCGAGGGGTGAGAAGCTAAAATGTGTGTATGAGTGTGTGCGTGTGCAAATAGCCCAGAAGGAAACTCCCCAAAAGGAAATGTATGTGAGGGCTCTGCGCCAAGAAAAGCGATCCAGATGACTGTGGGAGCTAGATTCCCGTACAGAGGGTGTCCCGCAGGAGGTCAGACCCGCAGACTCACCTCGGCCATAGCCCTGCGTGTGCTTGGCGAAGCTCCTCACCACGGCCTCCACAGCCTCCCGCAGCACCGCTGGGCTGCCAGCGGAGCCGGGGGGCAGTGGCAGCCCGGGGGCCCCGGACAGGAGCAGGGTCGGCGGGGGCGGTGGGGCTGGCGGGGAGCCCACTGAGGGTGTGGCGGGTGCAGCCGCGGCCCCAGTCACTCCGGGCCGCAGCGTTCGCAGAGTGCCCCTCCCGTTGGGGCTCACTCCAGGCTGCAGCCGCTGCGCTCGCATCGTCTCCATTTCTGACACCAGTGGAGTAGCGGCCGAGAGCTTGCCAGTCTGGCGAGCTAACGGTCCCAACCACCCGCGCCAGCTAGCGCCGAGGAACTGAAGGCGGTGCCGGAGCCCAACAGTCAGTCAAGCAGGGGCGGGGACAAGCCAGGTCTTATGCCAATCATCAGAGAGGGGGGCGGGAGTTGGCGGGCTTCAGCTCCACCATAGGCTAATTATTGAGAAGGGCGGAGGTTCTGAGCACCCAATTGCAAAGGGAAAAAGCGATCGCTCTGCAAAAGAGGAGCTGGCATGGACGCGTCTTCGGTAGTACTAAAAAGCCGGCCAGAGCCCAAGGGCGAGGCTTGTGGAGGGCGGGGGCTAGGGGTAGGGTCGGGTGGAGAGGAAGATTGGACAGGAAGCAAGACTGGGAAGAATTATGGACACAGTAAAAGGATACTTAGAGATTATTGGTCTGACTACTTCATTTTATAGATGTAGATGAAGAAACTGCTCAGCAAAGTGAGGTGACTTGTCCAAGATCACATGCAAGGGAAGAAGATGCTGACATTTAATAAGGAAATATTTACTATATGTCAGACACTATGCCACATACTTAGGTCATTGTCATATTTAATAATCACAATCACTAACTCAATTTTAGTATTTTACAAATAAGGAAACACACTCCGAGAAGCTAAATTGCACAGAATTAAATAGCTAGGAGATGGCAAGGGGGTGTCAAACATAGGTCTTCTGAGTCCCGATATTTTGATCTTTTCATTATATCATGTTGTTAGATAATTTTCTGATTTCACCTATTCTAAGTTGGAGGAGTAAGAAAGAGTAGAATGGGCTGCTCCCTTACCTCCTTTTAGGGTGAGGAAGAGTTAGAATATATGCAGAAAACCAGCAAACTGAGAGGTCCAGAGAGCGGATTAAGACAGATGCCCTTGTTCCTAGAATCTGTCAGACTGGGTTCCTCTGAGTACTCTTGCAGACACACACACTACACATTCTTTGTCAGTTGACCATCATGCCATTTTTACCTAAGTGAGGTTGTACTAATTCTCCTCCCACCCCCTGAAATCAAGGATGAGGAAATAGAAACCAGAAGAAAATGAATGAAATGCATCTGATGAGATGAAAGTTAGAACCTGGTGGAAAACAAGGTGAGTGGAAAACCTGTGGGTGGTTAAGACATAGGAAATTTGAAAAAGGGGCACAATCTATTGGGCTAAATATATCTACTGATGGTGGAGGGATTCTTAAGTTAAAGAATTTGAGGATAGACATAGGGAAGACTGGGGGAAGTGGAAGCATGTCAACTGTCTTAAAACCTTGAGGACACAGGACATTTGCCTTTTCTTCTACATCACAGTTGGTCAGTTGGACTCCTGGGAAGAAGGCGGGTGGAACCTCTAAGTATCCCCCAGAGAGCATCATAGCTATAATTAGCATCACCCTCCCTCCCCATTACTCATTCCCCACACCCCACATCCCTTGGTAGAAGAGACAAAACAGAGACTTCTGAACACATTTATTTGATATGTCAAGTGGAAAGAGGAGTGATTTAGGGTTATTCCCCACTTCTACCTGTGTGTTGTTGGCGGGGAGTCATAAACTGACCCATCCCTCCTGGGAAAATGAGACAACCTGTTGTATGGGTTGGAGCACAGGGTGGGAATAAAAAGCAGGAAACTGAGAAGTAAAGCTGAGAAGGAAGGGCAGCAGCAGAACTCAGGCTGGGCATTGCTGCAGAAAACCCCCAAGGAGAGTGAAGAAGATATCCTGAGCAATGGTTAGGACTGGAAGCAGGGTGTGAACAAGGAGTCAGACTTGGAAAAAGAAGGAAGACCTGAAGAATGAGGTGAAATATTCATGAAGAGGGTAGAGTGTGTGAAATCATGGCTGAGTTGTAGGGCATAATTGGAAAGCAAGGGATTGCTTCCATAGGAGGGCAAAGAGATTGGAGACTCCCCATAAGAAGGGGGCCCCTATTGCTTCTGAACAAAATGCAAGTGAGTTTGGGACCCATTTGGGGCCCTGGCATAAGTGGCCATATGTGTGCTGTGCCTGTGGGTGTGTACACAAGTAATTCTCATATGCATGTGAAGTGACCAGGGCATAAATGTATGTGTCTATAAGCCCAGTAAATAGAGTACTTACCCTTCCCTGCGAATAGAGTAACTGTGCCTGTAGACACGGTTGCCCACGTGTGCGTGCACTGTGCCCAGGAACACATGTAAAAGACCCCTATGTCCATGGTTATGTGTGTGAGCTGGTTCTCCTACCTGTCCCATCAAGGTCCTGATCCTCACCCTCCTGGCTCCTCTCACTCCTCTCAGCGCCCTGGCTCCCCTGGCCCGCCTAGACTCTGGAAGCCCCCTAGCAGGCGGATCTGTTCCGTCTGCATGGAGTGGCGCCTCACCAATTTGCGCTTGGTCCTGGGAGAACCTGGCGCCCCCGCCTGGGGAGGAGCGGGCAGCGAAGGCGCGCGACATCCAGGTAGGGGGCGAATGTCCGGGATAGGAGGGTGGGGGCTGACGTTGAGCGGAGGTAGGAAACCTGGCCGCGTTTGCGAGATGTGGTCCAGAAGCAACGTTCCCGAGCCTCTTCGCTCCAGCAGCCCTGGGCTCCGCCTTCTCCCACTCAGCGGAGACACAGCCCCAGGCAGACTTTCCTGGGACTGGCGTGGGGAAGGAGCCGAACCTGCCAGAGGGAGAGTCAGTGGGGAGGCGCTGTATCGGCGGCGCTCCAAAGACGGGCGGCAGCACTCCGGCGAGTCAGGACAAAGATTTCCAGGGGCATCGAGCTCTACCGGCTCCATGCGGCTCAGTTTTTGCTTCAGCCCTGAAGGAGGACCAGACTCCTGAGCTTCTGGCGCAGTGTTTCTGCGTGAGAGGGGACCCCCACCCGTCACTTCCTCCGGGCCCTCGGTGCTGTGACGTCTGGAAAGACGGGGTCGACAAGCCAGGGTCAGGCCGTTGAATTCGGAGGTCAGGCGCTCAGTCCCCAGCCTCCCTTCCGTGGGCGGGACCGGGGGAGGAGGAATCACTAGGCCCCACGGCTCGGAGTTGAGCCTTTTGAGTGGTTTTGGAGGGTGACGCGGTGGTTTGGGGAGCGGCTCAGAAGGGGAAGGGTCATCGGGGGACTTAGGAAGAGGGAATTCAAATACGTCTCGCTTCTCCTCTTCTTCCTGGGTGCGAGGGGATAACAAACCCTGTCCTCCTCCTGAAGTCTGCAGTTGGATTTCCGAAGGCGACGTGCAGACCCCAGGGCCAGGAGGAGAGGGAGTGGGGTCCTCCACCCCCGGGGAAGGTGGGGAATTGAGATACTGCCGGGTCTTCTTGGTGCCGGAGGGCGAGGTGTCGGTGGTGATGATGATGACCTCCGTGCCCTTGGCCTTACAGGCGTCCAGCAGCGTGGCAAGGGTCTCTCGGTCCCCACGGTCCAGGGCGTGGACTAGTGCCGAGGCGCCCGTGTGATCTCGAACTGAGGGGTCTGCGCCATGGGCCAGGAGCAGCGAGGCTACTGCGGCTCCCCCACCCCCAGCGCAGGCGTGCATGAGCGCTGTACGCCCTAGGCGGTCTGCGATGTTTGGGTCTGCGCCTTGCTCCAGAAGGTAGCGTACCATACGCGCCTTGTTCTGGGGGTCATCGTAGCGGGCCCGACAAGCCGCCATTAACGCAGTCTCCCCCTGGGCATCACCCTCATTAACGTAGGCGCCTCCCTCCAGAAGCAAACGGGCCAAGCGTAGTTTACCCTGACCCACGGCCCGAAGAAGAGCGTGGCCCTCGGTATGCAGCATAGCTGCGGCTGGGATAAGAGCACTGATGGAGCCGGGACTGGCACCTGCCGAGGAAGGCTAGGGGTGTGGGGGTGGTGGCTGGAAGAGGCCTCAGGGCTCACTGGCGAAACCAATTCCTGCGAGAAAGAGAGAGATCTTATCTATGGATTCAGGCAGGGAAGCTTAGGCACTGGTGGAAGGACCCGGTGTGGGGCGGAGGAGATCTCCACTGCTAGGCACACAGTCCTTCCTCTTAACTCTTGCCTTGAGCCGCGCCCTCCCCCCAGAGCGTGCCTGAGGAGGTGGGAAGGGTGCACCCGCATTAGAGGACGAGCACGTACTTGCACGCTCGGAGATACCCGCACCTCCACCCTCACCCCACGGCTTATCAGACCTTTCCAGCATCCCCCTTTTCTTATCTACACTTAGAATCCCCCTTTCTAGGATGCTGAATGCCACCCACCCACGCACATGCACTCATTCCACACATTCCCATTCCTAACCTCTTTTAGGTTGCCACAGCCCCATAAATTGAGGGGGGGGGGTGCAGCTTGCATTTGGGACCTAAAACGGGTGGGGGAAATTGGGGGTTTCTTTTGCCCCTGCTGTGTTCCCCATCACTTCTTGCTCTTTCGCCTCCCAGGCTGTGCGCCCAAATACCTGAATGTCTGCAGAATCTCCGCCTGGCCAGGACTGAGGCCAGGGCCACCTGGCAGCTGGGATGATGGAGCCGGGTTCCCGGGGGCCCACATGGCGTGGGGGGTGGTACCCGATTCCTTTGGTGTCAGTATCTGCGCCTGGGTACCAGTTCCTGGTCCCTCCTCCCGGTGCGCCCCGGGCACAGTGCCGGCTGGGGAGGAGAGAAGCTGGGGTGGGGTGCGGGTGGGGGGAGTTCGAAAGGCGGAGCTCTGCCTTTCTATTTATAACCTAGTTTCTTCGGGTGGGGGCGTCGGGCACCAAACCATTCCCCCACCCATGCAACATAAACCCTTGAAACCTAGAGGCTCCAGTGTTGATTGTCCTTACTTAGCTGACCTCCCCTCGGTCCCAGCAAATCTAAATGTTCCTTAGGAGATTTCTCCGCGACCCAGACTGAGACCAATTCTTCCTTGAGCTTCAGCAGATCTCCATTCTCGCCTGTCGTGTTTCTGCGCGCTTGTGCGCCAGACCTGACCTACCTACCACACACGGCACAGGACACACTGTGCAGAGGGGTGGAGAGAGGCGATTGGGATCCACAGCCGGAGCCATACTGTGCAGAATGCCAAGAGATCTGGCTGGTTTCTCATAGTTTAAATATCAGGGAGAGCTGGAGTCAAACACATCCTCTTTCCACACCCCGTCCCCCCACCCTCCCAAACAGAGCACACGGCATACATAAACTTGGCTCTCAGCTCCCTTGTACAGACCTCTTAAATAAGCATGAAGAGGGCGGATATTTTGGGTCATTTTGAGAAAGAGCCAGGGGGCATTCCTAGATGCCTCCTCCGCATACTCTTGGGGGTGGGGGGAGGGTAGAAACGGGGCAGAGGAGAGCAAACCTTGTAACACATCCTATCTCATTGCATCTCTTTACTCTGTCTTCCTTAGACTCGTTATTTTTTAAATTATGGTTTTATTATTTATTGATTGATTTTTAGATAGAGGAAGAGAAGTATCGATTTGTTGTTCCACTCATTGATTGATTCTTGTATGTGCCGGAACTGGGGACAAACTCTGCAACTTTAGCATATGGGGGTCGATGCTCTAACCAGCTGAGCTACCTGGCCAGGGCCTACACTCATTGTTTTTTCATCTTGCTTAAAGTGTCTGTCCAAATCGCTCCTTAAATTTCTTTTCCCTACCTGTCACAATCGGTTTCTCTAGTCCCTGCCTCTCCTTGCCACCTGCCCTGTCTTCATGGTTACCATAGCTTCCATTTGCATGTTTTAGGAATGAATTTGTGTCCAGCTGGAAGGTATCAGGGAAAATAGGGGATGAAGAAAATATCCCAAGGATTTGGAAAACTCACCTGAGATAATTCAGAAGCTGGAGGCCACCAGCCACAAAATACTAAAACTAATGTTCCTGGAGAAAGGGGAGAGAGAAAACATTTGCAGGGAAGCTACCCATTTTTACTAGCTACCATTTATTGGACACCAACTATGTGTCAGTACTTTATATACATTATCTCCAATCCTCAAAACAATGCTATAAGGAAGGAATTATCTTCTTGTTGTAGATGTAGAAACAGAGACGTAGTAAAGTTAAGCAAGTTCTCCAAAGCCTCACAGCTCTGTTTCTGTGCTATTCCAAAAGCTGGGCCCTTGCCACTACCCATACAGCCTTCCTTTCAAGTCCAGAGGCTTACTCTGATGGTCATTTTCTCTGACATTTGGGACATTCTTGACTCACTCCTAGATTTTATCACCACACGGAACTCTTTCCTTCTGTTTGTGTTTGTGTGTGTGTGTGTGTGTGTGTGTGAGTGAGAGTGAAAGCAGAACTCGTCTACTCACTGTGTTCCCTTTACCAAGGGCTAGGAGCAGCTGGAAGGTAGTGAAGAATGCAGGAAACACTCACTGGCTTCTGCCCTGCCTCCCCAGCTCCTAACCCTTCCTTCCCCAAACCTTTTTGCCATCTTCTCACAGACATGGTAGCAACCCACAGAAAAAAAAATTTAAGTAAATAATTATTCATTGGTGATACTATAGGGAAGCAGAGTAAGATTGAAGGGAAGGTTGGAGTAATGGCGAAGAGGCCAAGCTGTGAAGCCAGTCACAAAAAGACTGATCTCTAGTCTTTTTTATGAGTAGGTTTCATAAGGGTTTATTTCTCTGTGGGAGCTCCCTCAACAGTCCGTCGGTAAGATCTGAAGTTAGGTTCTCTCTGTAATCTCGCTGGCCAGTGGCTCCTCCGTCTGGGATGAGATTGTAAATAGCGGAGCCTTGGTTGATTCTCTAACCCCATCTCTCTCCGATCCAGGCTCCCTAGGCCTGGGTTCCGGCTGACTCCCTCCCTTCTTCTCTTTCTCAGCTTCAAGTGGGCGGACCTCCTTCTGCTTCTCCTAGATTGGCGGGGAGAATTCACCAATGAGGACCTCTAGGAGGAGGACCTAGAACAGCAGCAGCTTGAGGAAGAGGAGCAGATTTCAAGTTGGCAGCGGTGTGGGCTCCATGTGGGGGAGGGGTAGCAGGTAAGGCTCGGTCCTGGTGGTTCTGACCTGGTTCCGTCCACATTTCCTGTACTATTTCACCAGGGCCAAGATGCAAAATAAACAAAGGTTTTTGGCAGTCCGTTGGGTCGGCTCTCTGGGTCCCTTACCCTTTTCTCTTCTGGGTTCCCATTGCTATATTGATTAGTATATCAGAAAACCCTAGTTTTTCTGATATGGTCTTTTGCGTATAGGCAAGAAATTTTAAAGCAAAAGTGAAAGAAAAAGACTCACTCTCGTATTCCTGACTTTGCAATAGCATCAGCTTCCCTCGAATCTATTAATAGTATTTCCCTAAGAGGCTGACAGACTTTCGTTATCAATCAAGCTGAATGGTTACTTACTTTCTACTTGTAGGTTTCCTGAACCACCGTTTTTTTGTGTGTGTTTTTTTTTTGCAGAATTAATTGTTCCTCTATCAGATGATAGCATTTTGTGCTTACCTCTATTAGAGTACTTAGTGCACCCTGCCTCTTTAATGTTTCTATTCTTCTCAGAATATAAGGTTTTGTAGGGCAGATTCTTAATGCACAGTGCCTGCTAAAGGTTAATTAAATGGAATTGATTGGGGATGCAGAATTTAAACTCCTAATGTAATTATGGAACAATTAATAAAAGATAAAATATAATACAGTATATAATTAAGGTCTCTTAAAATTAGTCATTCATAATATAGTAATTGCTCCCACAGTTCAGAGAAAACTAGAAAGAATGGGATGGTGAGGGGATGCTTTATGAATCTTAAGGCCTTGAGTTTGAAAGAAACCTTAGAAATCATTTTATCATTCAGCACTTATTTACTGAGCATCTACTATATGCCAGACAGTGGTAGATAATGGGGATCATACTTCCTCTGATAAACGATATATAGCAAATTGTTATTCAGCTTCTATTTAATTGTCTTTAGTCAAAGAACTCTATCTCACTTGGCAGGTCCTTCCACTTTTTGATATTTGTTCTTCAATTAATATCTAACAAATATTCTAAACAAATATATACCTCAAAAATGCATTCTACCCTTCCATTGTAAAAGAGGGAGTAGTGCTAGTATTCTTAAAAATAAAGAATACTATCATTCTTGTTTTCTGATTATAGAAGTAACATTTATTCTAGAAATTTAGAATCACATAAATATATAGAGAAAAATATCTATTATTTCATGACTACGATGTAGGGATAACCATTATTATTATTTTAATATGTATCCTTTCAATTTCTTCTCTGCATGTATACATATGCATGTGTGTATATATATTACACAAATAAGGCCATGCAATAAATGCATTTTTATATCGTATTTTCCCCACTTTATATTATATTGTGATTTTTTGCCTTTAAATATTATTTGAAGTCATTTTATGGCTACATAATGGTCTAAAATGGATACTTTGAACTTTTTTTAAAAAAGATTTTGTTTACTCACTTTCAGAGAGAGGGGAAGAGAAGGAGAAAGAGAGGGAGAGAAATATCAATGTGTGGTTGCCTCTCGCACACCCCATCCTGGGGACCTGGCCTGCAACCCAGGCATGTATCCTGATTGGGAATTGAACCAGTGACTCTTTGGTTCACAGTCTGCACTCATTCCACTGAGCTACACCAGCTAGGGCAGTATTTTGAACTTTTTAAGCCATTCTTTTTTGTTACTTCAGAAGTTTTGCTAATATGGATAGCCCTTTGATGAACATCCTTCAGCTTACATCTCTGACTATATACCTGATTTCTTTATGATAGATTTTTATTTTTTAAAATATTTTATTTATTTACTTTTAGAAAGAGGGGAAGGGAGGGAGAAAGAGAGGGAGAGAAACATCAGTGTGTGAGAGATACATCGATCCATCGGTTACCTCTCACACACCTCCAGCTGGGGACCTGGCTTGAAACCCAGGCATGGGCCCTGACTGGGAATCAAACTGGTAACCTTTCACTTTGCAGGCCAGTGCTCAATCCACTGAGCCACATCAGCCAGGATTAGGCTAGATTTTTAAAATAAGATTAGTGTATTAAGTATATGGACATTTAAAAAAGGCTGTTGATCTAAGTGGTCAAATTGCTCCCTTAAAAGATTGTGTTCTAGTGAAATATGATCATGAGTGTCCATCTTAACAAAACTCATGACAGCATGATTATTATTTAAATCTTTGTCGATTTGACAGATGAAGCATGGCTTTATTCCTTATTCTTTTGTCAGTTGTCTATTCATGTCCTTTGCACATTTATTTTTTGAGGATGATTTTTTTCTATTTGGACTTCCATGGATTCTAATGTAATGAGTGTTAACTCCTTGTCTTATTTATTATAAATATAGAAAAGCTTAAACATTAGGGTGCCCTAGGCCTCAGTCCCTGAATTTCTTAGAACAGTGCTTGCACATAGTAAGCACTCAGTAAATATTTATTGAATGAATTAATATGGTTTTATTTTTATTTTTCCCATTTTACAGATGAAGAAACAGGGTTAGAGATTTTAAATACATTGTTCAAGGTTATATACCTGAGAAATGGCAGAACTGGGGTTCAAATCCATGTTCTTACTCACTACATGTACAACCATCCTTAAATTTGATGTAATTGTTTTTCTGTATGTTTTGTTGCAACCAGTTATGCATAATTGGGAATAAGTATAAAGTATATGAAATGTAGTTTTAGGGGAAGGAGAATGCAGAGGTGGACATTAGGGAGGGTTGATATCAAAGAGGAGTAGTTTTGGACCAGATTCTGGGAGACTTTAAATATCTTCAAGAATTAAGACTCAGTCACAATTTTAAATCTAAGAGACTCATTGTAATTACTGAACTAAGTGGGGTAGAGATGGATGGGTTGGTTTCTCAAACACCAGTTTATTACCTGAATTAAATAAAATTGTTTTCTTTTACCTCACTCTTTTAGGAGTCACTTGGTAGATATGTGCAAATGGAGTTAGATTTATCTAACCTCAAAACCCATGGTCTTTTCCTGACTCCTCACTCCTTTGCAATCAAAACAGCTCCCATCTCCACTGCTAGAACTGTATCTGTCAAGTGGAAAGAGACCTAAGGCAGCTGATTAGAGTGTTCTTTCCCTTGAAAGGGTGTGAAGATATGGTGATGAATTCTTACTCCTTCTCCAGGATGTGTGAGACTTCCTCTCTCCCATAATGTGCTTTCAGTCAGATTACAATTAAATCTATTAACAGCCATTTTTTCTTCACATTTTTTGTGGCAGTTGGACTTGAAACTTTCCTCAGACACATTTTTTTACCCTTTCCTTCCTGCTACGTATTAGTCTCATCTGCTATTGTTAGTATATATTTTAAAATTTAAATTAATATTTTCTCTAATTACAAAAACAGTACCTATTCAGTATAGAAGAAAATCTTAAAATACAAATAATGCCTGCCCCCCAAAAAAAACAAACAAAAAGAAAGCACACCTCAAATTAACCAATGTTGATTTTGGTGTATATGAAGGGGGAACCCCCTAAAACCCCAGAATTATCTTCTGGAGGGCTTTGTAGTTCAGGCTTCCCCTGCTATGTGAGTATTCTAGGAATCCATCTGTATCAGTGCACCAGCTGGTGGTGGTGTGAAAGGCTGAGTTCCCACTTGAGTGAATTTTTTTTGAAGACTCTTTTAACACATTTGCCCATCTCATGATGGGTGATTTATGAGCATACCTGCCCACACCATGCTGAGTGTTCATCAGTTTTTGACCAAAAAATGGTGTCCCAGCCTTGCTGTTCACCCAATATTGCCCCTGAGTGACTCTTTTGTTTCCTCATATTAAAAGTCCTCAAAGGGAAGTGTTTTGCTGACATGGAAAAGATGAAACAAAAAATGGCAGAAGCACTAAAAGGCATCAAAATCTGTTCAAAAACTTTTTTGAGCAGTGGAAAAAAGTCTCACTAGGTGTATTGCATCAAATGGAGACTACTTTGAAGGTGACTAATGTTTAAACATGTAAGAATAAATACACAATATTTTATAAATAAATTCTGGGGGTTTTGGGTCCCCCTCATATCCTTTAAGAACATTTTTATTTATATAGGGGTATGTGTATAAATTCCTTTATAAATATTTAAAACTCATTTTTACCAACTAATCTTTTGTAAAATGCCCTTCACTGAGCCATGTATTTCTTGTCTAGAGAATTTGTTGGATATCAATTGAAGAACAAATATCCAAAAATAGAAAGACCTGCAAAGTGAAATAGGGGATTCTCTCACTAAAGATAATTTGAATAACATTTCGATAAATCGAATAAAGATAATGAATAACAATTTGCTAATTATGGTTTATCAGAGGAAGGATGCAAATCTAGAATAGAAGTTTCACTATGATCCCCATTATCTGACATTGTGTCTGGCATATGGTAGCTGTCCAGTAAATATCTGTTGCATGAATAAATGCATGATTTCTAAGAGTTCTTCCAAACCTGAGACCTTGTGATTTATATTTATAAAGCCTCCTCTTAGCATCACAGACCTTCTAGTTTTCTCCCTTCTCTGGACTGTGGGGACAATTACATTATAAATCACTAATTTAAGAGATCTTAATTATATACTGTATTATTTCTTACTGTTCTATAACATGTTATTAGTATGTACCCTTAATATGATGTGATGAAATGGCACTTTACCTCTGTGATTCTCCTCCCCAAAACCAATAACTCCAGTCTAATCAGAAGAAAAACATCAGACAAATTCCAGCAGAGGAGCATCCACTCATGTACCTGACCAGTACTCTTTAACACAGTCAAGGTAATCAAAAACAAGGAAGATCTGAGAAACTGTGAATTTCAAATTGCTCCTCAAGTTTTTTTTAAAGATTTTATTTGTTTATTTTTAGGGAGAGGGGAAGGGAGGGAAAAAGAGAGGGGAGAAACATCAGTTTCTCAGTCAGTTGCCTCTCACACACCCCCAACTGGGGACCTGACCTGCAACCCAGGAATGTGCCCTGACTGGGAATTGAACTTGCGACCCTTTGGTTTGCTGGCTGGCACTCAGTCCACTGAGCCACACCAGCCAAAGCATCAAGTTTCTTTAAAACAGATTTTATTTCTTAAAACAATTTTGATTTATAGAAAAATTGAACAGATAGTAGGGTTGTTTCCTATATAGGGTTGTTCCCTATATAGGGTTGTTCCCTGGCACACAGTTTCCCCTATTATTAACATCATATGTTAATATGGTACATTAGTTATAAGTTTAAAAGCATATTGATATAATGTAATTATTTAAGGTCATACTTGATTCATATTTCCATAGTTTTACCTACTGTACTTTTTCTATTCTAGGATTCCATCCAGAATACCATTCTACATTTATTTGTCATGTCCCTATTATGTGTATATATATGTATGTACACATGGAAATGAAGTTAAAAGGATATATATTAAAATATTAATAATGGGGATTCGGCCAGGTTATTCAGTTGTTTAAACCTGATATGCCAAGGTTGCAGGTTTGATCTCTTGTCAGAGCACGTACAAGTTGCAACCAATGAATGCATAAATAAGTAGAACAACAAATCAATGTTTCCCCCCCTCTTTCTCTCCCTTCCTTTCTCTCTTTAAAATCAAAAAATAAAAAATATTAATAATGATTGTTACTATATGGTGGTCATCATGAAATAATAGGTATTTTTCTTTATAGTTTTATGTGTTTCCAAGTTTTCTAGAATAAGTGTATATTAGTTCTATAATAAGAAAACAAAGGGGATGGTGTTTTTTATTTTTAAGAATGCTGCCACTCGGACAGCTCTCTCTCTTTTACAGTGGAAGAGTGGACCTTCCTTGTTTTTGGTGACTTTGACTGTGTTAAAGAGTACTGGTCAGGTATATGATAAGATGCTTCTCTGCTGGAATTTGTCTGACATTTTTCTCCTAATTAGACTGGGGTTATGGATTTGGGTGATGAGGATCACAAAGGTAAAGTGGTAAAGTGACATTTTTAAAATATATTTTATTGATTATGCTATTACAGTTGTCCCATTTTCCCCCCTTCACTCCCCTCCACCCTGTACACCCTCTCCCACCCCTATCCCCCCCTTTAGTCATGTCCATGTGTCATACTTGTAAGTTCTTTAGCTTCTACATTTCCCATACTATTCTTACCCTCCCCCTATCTAATTTCAACCTACATTCTATGCTGCTTATTCTCTGTACCTTTTCCCCCTCTCTCCTCCTCCCACTCCCCTGTTGCTAACCCTCCATGTGATCTCCATTTCTGTGGTTCTGTTCCTGTTCTAGTTGTTTGCTTAGTTTCTTTTGGTTTTGCTTTAGGTGTGATTGTTAATAATTGTGAGTTTGCTGTCCTTTTACTATACTTGTTTTTTCTTTATCTTCTTTTCTTAGATAAGTCCCTTTAACATTTTATAAAATAAGGGCTTGGTGATGATGAACTCCTTTAACTTGACCTTATCTGAGAAGCACTTTATCTGCCCTTCCATTCTAAATGAAAGCTTTGCTGGATAGAGTAATCTGGGATATAGGTCCTTGTCTTTCATGACTTGGAATATTTCTTTCTAGCCCCTTCTTGCCTGTAAGGTCTCTTTTGAGAAATCAGCTGACAGTCTGATGGGAACTCCTTTGTAGGTTATTGTCCCCTTATCTCTTGCTGCTTCTAGGATTCTCTCCTTCATTTTTACCTTGGCTAATGTAATTATGATGTGCCTTGGTGTGTTTCTTCTTGGGTCCAACTTCTTTGGGACTCTCTGAGCTTCCTGGATTTCCTGGAAGTCTATTTCCTTTGCCAGAATGGGGAAGTTTTTCTTTATTATTTGTTCAAATACGTGTTCAATCTGTTGCTTTTCCTCTTCCCCTTCTGGTACCCCTATAATTCGGATGTTGGAATGTTTAAAGATGTCCTGGAGGTTCCTAAGCTTCTCCTCGTTTTTTTGAATTCTTATTTCTCCATTCTTTCCTGTTTGGTTGTTTTTTTTCTTCCTTCTGGTCCACTCTATTGTTTTGAGTCCCAGTTTCCTTCCCATCACTATTGGTTCTCCATGCATCGTCCTTCATCTCTTTTATGGTAACCTGCATTTTTTCATGTAATTTGCTCCCAAAATCAACCAACTCTGTGAGCTTCCTGATCACCAGTGTTTTGAACTGTGCATTTGATAGATTGGCTATCTCTTAGTCGCTCAAAAGGATAAGCCCTGGGGCATTGATCTGTTTTTCTGTTTGAGACATGTCTCTCTCTTTCTCTCTTTTTTTTAAATTTTTTTGGTCTGGTCGCTCCTGTTATGGTGAGGGGCGGAGCCTTAGGTGTTCACCGGGGCTGGGCACCCCAGTCGCTAGATTGTGACGTTGTATGTGGGGGCGGGGGCAGGAGGGAACAATGGCGGTAACTCTGCTCTCCTGGGACCCCAGTCTCTTCCCTGGGATCCTGGGCTACGTGCTCTGCCCCGGTCCACAATTGCCGCCTCACTGGGTCCGCCAGCTGCCGCTTGCGTACTCAGGGTCCAACCGCTGCGACCTTGTGCGCCCCAGATGCCTTATGCGTTCCCAGTTGCCCAATGTGCCACCTGCTCTCTGCTCTCCCGCTGTGACCCGTGCTGCAACCTGCGCCCAGCTGCTCCTCTCTGCCCCTCCTACCGGTCTGGATGAACAGGTCTACTTCAACTTCTTGGCTGTCCGACTTCCATTCAGATAAATTCTCTTGTTATTTGTCAGTTCTAGGTGTTATTCTGCCTCTAAATTGTTGTTGTTCTAATCTTGGTTGTGCGTGGAGGTACGTTGCGTCCACCTATGCCTCCATCTTGCCGGAAGTCCCCTAAAGTGACATTTTCATTTCAGTATTAAGGGTACCTTAATTTAACATGAATTAATACTGTTGATACTGACCTTGGTCTCCTGACTAAAGTAGTATTCATCCAGTTCCTCCATTGTAAAGTTACTATCTTCCTTTTAAAAATTGTATTGGACAAAATTCCTTATATACAGCCCACACTTAACGAGAGGGGAGTTCTACCCTCTGTCTTTAGAGAAGTCTACATAGTGTATTTGGAATTCTGCATGAGATATTTGTCTTTTCTCTGTCATGTATTAATTTATTCAATCATTATTTATAGTAGTGTGAACTGATGGATTTTACACTTTTTTTATTGTATACTTTTGTGTTGTAATCCAATACTACTTTATTTTATTGTTGAAACTGTCCTCACTTTGGCCATTGGGAGCTCTTTCATTGGACTCTTATGCTTCTTTGACATAGCCCCATTAATGTGTGTGTGTTATTGTGTTTTATTTATTTATTTTTAGCACTTTCGTACTTTCTGGCACTAGAAGATCCTTAAGTCTCGTCTTGTGTATTTACTGCCTCAATCATGTCTCTAAGAAGCCTTGATTCCTTGTATTGGAAAATGATATTAGAAACCAAGGTCTGGGTGCTAGATGTGTTTCTTGCTTCTGGGGTATAATTTCTTTCAAGTTTCTTTTCATTTGATGACTTTATCCCCCATTCTAGTAGCTTCTGACTGTCCCTTCAAGACTGATGATGACGAGAGGCAGAGTTCATTTCAGTAGCAGGAGGAACTTTCAATTCATCAGAGTTGATCACAGTGGAATGGGCTGCCATGGGGGAGAATGAACACCCTCACCTTAAAAAAAAAGTTTTGTTTATTTATTTTTAGAGAAGGGAAGGAAGGAAGAAAGAGAGGGAGAGAAACATTGACCGGTTGTCTCTCATAGGTGTTGTGTCTGAGAAGTGAACCTGCAATCCAGACATGTGTTCTGATCAGGAATCAAACCAGATGCCTTTTGCTTTGTGGGATGACACCCAACCAACTGAGCCACACCAGTCAGGGCTGACCACCCACTCTTTAGGCAAATGTCACAAGAAGCAGAATAACTTAACAACTTGCAGAGTGGAGTACTACGCTGTAAGGGGGTTTGCACTAGATAACTCTGTAAATCCTTCTTATTCTAAGTTCTGTGCTTCTAGGTGGTGTTTATAAAGATCAATTTGATTGTAATGGTTCCCTTTTCTCACTCTCACCTCCTGCTACTGACAGTGAGACTGATGACTTACTCTGTGCTTACACAGTGCCTGGCACACTACTTTTTTTATGGTATGTGCTTAATAAATGCTTTATTGAAATGCATTAAATTGGATTGAATTGGGGCCTGGTTAGGTTTGGAATGTTAGGGAGGGAAAGAATTAAAAGGTCATATATAGATATGCAGATGCAGATGGTGATAAACATCAAATTATCTTAGGGATGTAGGGAAGTTTTATCTAAGGATTTTATCACTTTCCCTTGTGCTACAGTTACACTATATTGCAATTATCTGTCCTGTTGAGACCATGTCTCATCCATTGTTTATATTTCCAGAAATACCCTGCCTGGCACATGCATTCTTAATCAAAATTTGTTGAATTACACAGGCTTTTAGGTCCCAGGGAAAAAGATTGTCTTATAACTCCCTGGCTTCCTATCCATTCTACTGTACTTTTTCTCTTTGTTTTTGTCTTTCCCAGGTTTTTCTCACTGGATCTCTGAATTCTGAGGACCCCTTCACCATGGCAAGCCGGGGTGGGGGCCGGGGCCAGGGTCGGGGCCGGGGCCAGTTGACCTTCAATACAGAGGCTGTGGGCATTGGGAAGGGGGATGCTCTGCCACCATCTACCCTGCAGCCTTCTCCACTCTTCCCGGTGAGTGTCTGTCCTCCATTCTCAAGCCTCCCAGGTGCCCCTGACTGTATATGATCCTGGATTTCTCCTGGGCCATCACAAAACCATCGTCATCTTGCTTCTCCCTGTCTCTATGCACCTAGCTTGCATGGGATGTTTTCAAGGCAAGAAAATGTCTACCCTTACTTCTCATAATCCCAGCTCCTCAGCTTTCAAAATGCTGTGTTATGAGCCTCATTAGCTTTTGGTCCTTTGCTCAGTAGGAGCATTGGATTGAACGGGGGGGGGGACACACCCTCCTGGATTTGTACTCCAGCATTTTCTCCCTGGACTGACCACTGACCCTGCCTCCTTAGCCATTGGAGTTCTACCCAGTGCCTCTGCCCTCAGGAGAGGAAGGGGAATATGTCCTGGCACTGAAGCAGGAGCTACGAGGGGCCATGAGGCAGCTCCCCTACTTCATCCGGCCAGCTGTCCCCAAAAGAGGTCAGTTGGAATGTTCTGAGTGCCTTCCATGAGCAGTGCCTTATATTCAGCACTGATGGGGGCCGGAGATGCCAGAAGAGGCACAGGAAGCTCACTGTCTAACTCAGGAGATCATAATAATTATCTCTGAATTTGAAATGCATGACAGTATCCATGGTTTGTTTTGTGTCTCTCGATAGTATTGGGACAGTAGGAGGTTAAGTATTAACATGCCCATTTCACATGTGTAAATGGAATGATGTATTAAATTTTTAACACTCTAGTTATTATAGGTATCAACCAATCAGAAGGGGGACAAGTGTTGGGTCTCTGAGGTACCCTGCTAACTAGTACCCTGCTAACTTTTTGGGTAGTCAATCATGGAGAAGTCAGGGATATCAGGAGGGACTGGAGAAGTGGGGTATACTCAGGAGGCTTGGGATAGCGGATATTTACTAACTGCTGGGAAAGTACAGCATTTCAGGATATTGGCGACTGGTGCCTTCCTACTGAAGCCCTAGAAGCTGGAGCTCATAAGTTAGCCCCATTAACAAGGAGTAAAGGGAAGACAGAAACTCTGTTGTTTTGCTCTCTAGTATACTTTTTACTGTATCACATTACCTCTTGATATAGTCATGCTTTTGGGTTAAGGAAGATAACAAAAACATTGTAATTTTAGGGTCTCACTGAAGCTGGCCCCCCTGGGTTCTGGGTTCAGGCTGAAGGGACAATTTCTTAAGTATTGAGAGGGCTAGGCCCTGAGGAGCAACCCTGTCCTAGGCCTCTGAAAGGATAAAACTTTGACCTTGGCCTCTGATCTCTCAGATGTGGAACGTTACTCAGACAAATATCAGATGTCAGGACCGATTGACAATGCCATTGATTGGAACCCTGGTAGGTGCTGGGTCCTTTCATTAACTGCCCTTCTTTCAAATGTTTGATAGACTTCAAGCCACTGGCTATCACCCCATTCACCCTCCTCTGTGTCTGTACCCCCCTGCCCCACTTCATTTAGTATTTCCAAACTGGAGCCTTAGATATGCTAGTAAACACCCTCAGTCTCTATCTAAAAACCTATTAAATAGCCCTCACTTCCTTGGAGACATCCAAGCCAGTTTTGTTGCAAGCAAACTTGACCCAGCCCCTTCCTTTATCACCTTTATCCTGACCCTTATCTCTCCCTTAAAACTGGTCATTCTACCCTGACTGGTGCAGCTCAGTTGGTTGCCCATTTTCCTGCATCCCTATGTCCTGCAACACATCCATTGTCCTGCAAAGTGAAAGGTTGTGGGTTTGATTCCCTGTCAGAGTACATGTCTGGGTTTGGTCCCCAGATCGATGTTCCTCTCACTCTCTTTCTCCCTCCCTTCCCCTCTCTCTAAAAGTAAATAAATAAAAAATCTTTATGAAAAATAACTCATTCATATGATACCCAGGCAGGGTTTTACTTTTTACATTCCCACTGTTCCCAGATTGGCGACGTCTACCCCGGGAGCTAAGGATCCGAGTGAGGAAGCTACAGAAAGACCGTGAGTATACAGTGGAAGAAGAGGAGAAAAGAGATTTCCTTTTTCAACTGGAGGGCCAAGGCTGCTTGTCTGCCCTCCCAATTCCTACCCAAAGCATTGTTGCTGGTTGCCTTGGTGGCCACATGAGGGCAGCAGAGTGATATGGTCTCTGCAGGAAGGTGGGTAGAAAGCTAACAAGGAAGTTTGCTCTCTGATGGTTTACTTTTTGATCCTTTCACCAGGGTCCGCCATTCTAGTCCCCACAAGGCCCCCTAAAACCACAGAATATAAGGAGGAAACAATACAGAAACTAGAGGTAGGAGGAAATGTGCACAGTGACCATCTGGCCCCAGATCCATTCCCTCCTCTTTGACCCATGTTTGCCTTAAATTTTTCCCTCTGTGAGCTGAGTTGGAATTTGTCTCCCTATTATTCTTCTTCACATAAGACCCTGGAGAAAAAGGAGGAAGAATTAACTTCAGAGGAAGATGAGGAGAAAGAAGAAGAAGAGAAGGAAGAGGAAGAAGAAGAGGAGTATGATGAAGAAGAACATGAAGAGGTGAAGGGGACCTCCTTCTACCCACAATTCCTCTCTCTTGCCCTCATTAGCTCTGGAGATTTCAACTCTGTTCACCAGAGATATTCTCGTCAGAAGGTTGGAGGGCTAAAGGAGATAGTGTCCCCAAAGGATAGTATCCTCCACTTTATCTGTCTGTAGGCTTTTCTTTTTTTCTTTTTAAGATTTTATTTATTTTTAGACAGAGGGGAAGGGAAGGAGAAAGAGAGGGAGAGAAACATCAATGTGTGGGTGCCTCTTGTACACCCCCTACTGTAGACCTGGCCCACAACCCAGGCATGTGCTCTGACTGGGCTTCGAAGTGGCAACCTTTTGGTTTGCAGGCCGATGCCCAATCCACTAAGCCATACCAGCCAGGACTATCTGTAGGCTTTTCTAAAGAGCAAACTACAACTAGCCCCAGCTGGGTAGCTCGGTTGGTTAGAGCATTGTCCCAATATGCCAAGGTTGCAGCTGGGTCAGTGCATGTACAAGAATTAACCAATGAATACATAGATAAGTGGAACAACAAATCGATGTTTCTCTCTCCTTTTCTCTCTCTCAAATCAATAAATGACCATTTGAAATAAATAAATAAATAAATATTAAACTACAACTGGGAGGGATTTCTAGGGCTGGAATGGTGCTATTGGGAGGGAAGGGACCTTGTACACAGGGAGGAAGGAAAATGCCAAAAGCATAACTGACTTTTGTTTTCTATTTCAGGAAACTGATTACATCATGTCATACTTTGACAATGGAGAGGACTTTGGGGGTGACAGTGATGACCATATGGATGAGGCTATATACTGAAAAAGGACCCTAAACAACATTCTGGATCTTCATATATTTCTAATTTAAGATACAGAGAGTAACTGTGTCTATTATTTGGTTTTGTGGACAAGGAAATAATTTGCTCTGAGTCCAGATAATCTGTTTGGTCCCTAGAAATAGAAATGGAGAATGACAACAGACGTTTTCTACCCTTCCCCTCCCTCTACCCTTGTACCACTTCTGATATCTTGGAGAAAGGGCAGAGGACCAATGTGTTAATTGTATGAAAGGGAGAAGGGAAGGTCAAAAGAAGAAATGGAATTATTGGATCTGAGACAGCTGTACATATGCCCTTACCCATTTTTTATATAGTTCTTTGTGGAGATAACTGGGGGGTGGGAGCAGTTAAGAGGATTAAGGCCAGTTTTATATTTTTAAATAAAATATTTTTATCTGTCTCTCTATTCAGGGTGAGGCCTAATGGGAGAGGGCTGGAGAAATGAAGGGGGTGCTTAGCTGAACCATTCTCTCCTTAGCTGTCAGTGTCCAGTGTGACACCCTGGGGGTTACAGCCTTCCTATCTTTTGCCCCTTCCCTCCCACCACAATGGTGGGACATATGCTCCCAATCTAGCCCTGCCCAGGAACATTCAGGAAATTCATCTGCAGGGCTGTGAAGAGTGAGTAGTAGGAAAAAATAGCTCACACCCTAAGATCAGCTGACTTCTGAGCCTCTGGTCCGCAGGCCACAGGCACAGGGTTGTGCTTTTTCACATGTGTTCATAGGAACACAGGCCCTCTCTTTCCCACACTTGACCTTGATCTTGTCCATGTTTACAAAGAATGATTGCAGCTATTTTTTGTGGGGAGAATCAAGAAAGCCAGGTGTGGGAGAAAATAGGGAGGAGGTACTGATTATTCTTCAGCACAGTCACTGTCTTCCAGGCCCTGGAGACCCCACTTTGAAAAATATGTCTGTGCTGGTGGAGCCCCCTGAATATTCTATTCTCCAATTCTAGAAGCCATTGTGTGGTTGAGTTGCAGTTTTTCTTTTGGTTCTTTGTGGAATTTAGTTAGCCTTTCTCTCTTCTGTCTTTGGAGGAAAGAGAAGAGGTGGTGTTGCTTTACAGGAAGTAAGGAGGGTGCAGAGGAGGGGGATGACTTAGGGACATTCACAGCTCTGAGAGATGTTTTCTCAGCCACATAGCTCTCCCTTGGCTGAGGTCACTTCCCTATGTTTGATTGGCTTCTGAGGAAGTTCTACAAGAGCTGATTGGTTCCAGTCACTTGACATGCAGCAGTCACAGGCTAGCTGCCTTTCCAGAGGACAGAATAAGGAGGCAGGCACAGATAGCAACCGTACTGAATATTTGAAAACCATAAAGATGGGATGCAGGAGAAGCTTCAAGGAATTCCCCAACCATAATCAGGCTGGTTGACTGAATTATCTACAGCATCAAATGACAGAAGTAATGTTAGATATTTCTGACTCCATTGTAAAGAATAAATAGGGGCTGTGACTCCATTGAGGGAAAGCCCCTTAAAAGCCTGGTATGGGTGCAGTAGTAGGTGTTATAGTAGAAACAGCCAAGAGACCAGAGAAGGAAACCAGAATAGAAACAGAACATTCCAGAGTTCTTAAGTAATTTGTGATGATTGATGTGTTTCCTTTTCTAGCTCTTGGAGGTGTTGTGAATAGAGTGGGAATGGGGAAAGAACCTGTCACTGCAGTTGCCCAGTTACACTATATGGCTGAGAAGAAATCAGCAAGAAACAAAACTAAAAGACATTGAAAAATCTCCTTTTGCCCATCTCCCCTACACATACACACACGTAAGTCCTCACCTGGTCAGCTATATCTCTGTCTTTGTTGGGGTTCACAGCCAATTCCCTAAGTCCCATTTAATGCCAGCTTGGGAACTTAAAAGAATGGGAACAAAGAAGATTATAGACAAGAGACAGTAGAAGAGGAGTGGAATACATCCCTGCTCCCCTACCCCACCCTGACCTCTATACACACACATATTTTGTTGAGAAATGGAGGAAAGGAAGACAAAGTTTAGAGTGACCATATGGGATCAGTTATACTGCCTCAAAAACAAAGTATCAGAAAGATCAGACCATTCTTGAACTCTTTCCTGTCTGGCTTTCTGCTCTCCTGGCAGGTGACCTTGCTGAACAAAGCCAGAGGCATGGGACTCAGAAACTTCCCCAGATTCCAGAGCAGTTCCAGGCACGAGCTAGACTGTTTCCATTGACCTCTACCCTACTTTTCATAGGCTCTGTCAGGCCAGCTGAAGTTGAAGCCTAAGCCTGGTAAACAGTCAGGGCTGCTATTCCTCTAGAGGCCTCAGAAAAAGGTTAGGGGTTGAGGCACTGCTAACAAACATTTAGAGAAGACCCATGCGGTCCTTGCTCAGGCCTGTACTATGTGCTTGCTAAGGCCTGCTTATGTTGAACAGATTGCTCCCATGGCCACAGCCTGGGCTGCACTGGCTTAGGCAGAGTCGGTTTTCTGACAAGAATCCTATCTTTTCCTACTCTATATTCTTAGCCTCCTGGTCCCCTCTCAACTTGGACAGAAAGCTTGAAAGTGGGGTCTGCAAATTTAACTTCAGGGTCTCAAGTGGTTTGAGAGAGCTGAACTGGAGACCTGGACGAAACATGCAGTTTAGAAGATCAGGGGTAGAGATCAAAGAAAATTGGAGTGTCAAATGTCAGATGGGCAGAACATGTTTGGTTGGTTAGAAATTAATTACTTTCCTCAATTCATTTTTACTGCTGTTTGAAATTTGAAAGGAAAGCAGGGTGGCTTGTAGGCATAGTTTGGTTAAGAACAAAACCATGGTGAAGGGCTGTCATCTCAACTGGGCAAAGCACTGATTTATGGTCCTACTCTCACTAGTCCATAGTTTTGTGTTCTTTGGAAAGTTATGTCAAGCCTCCAAGACTCAAATTCCTCATGTGTGAAACAAAATTTGGATAAGAATGCCCACTAGGAATCTTTTCAAGCTGATGTGGCTTCACCTGCAAGAGTCTGAATGGTTCTGAGAACAAAGGTCAGGACATGTTCAGCTTTTGCTGAACTCTTTCCATCTGCTGGACTTCCCCATCTTATTTTCAGCTTGGGCAAGCTAAAGATACATCAGGCATCTAACCAGTCTTTTCCATGAACCTGCTTTAACTCAAGTAGCAGGAAGATCGGCAAGAAGGAGACAAGCCCTGCAGCATAGTTCACGGTCATGATCTGCAAGCCAGAGCTCAAATCAAGCAGGCCACCAAGAAATGTTATACTGAGGAAGGAGCAGTGGTGAGATCCTCTGTATCTCTCCTTACATATAATGTTTGGCTAGAGGACAGAGAAGAGAAATGAGATGGAAAGGAATGCTGTAGCTTAGTTAGTTAATCTGGCCAGACCTGTTGTTCTCCATTAACATTTCCCTTAGTGAGGCTCACTTCACCCCCAAGGTTATTTGGGACCAGGAAGCTAGAAATAAGCTCTAGCTTCCCAGTATTACCTCAGAAAATCCTTTGCCTTATCCCCAACAGGACTTAATTTGACATTTTGTATCCTGGAGGGAACCCAGGTTTCCCCTGGAACCCTAATGAAAGCCATTGGGAAGACAATGATCCCACGCTAACTGATAGGGCAAGTGCAAGAACCTTGGGAACTCAAGACTTTGGAGGACAGAATCCAGGACTTCCTCAGACTCAGTCTTGACCAATGCAGAAAGAGTCTGTGTCCCCACGACTTCTAAGTCTGGGACTGTTATTTATTCTCAAACCTCTTCTCCAGGATCTTCAGCTGTGGGCTGGACTTCCCAAAGCCAGTACCCCTGCCTTCCTGAATCTTTTTCATCCTGTGATTCCATTTCTCTTGATGTACAATGGACAAGGGAGAAAATATCCAAGTTTTGTCTCTAACATTCTTTGTTATACATAGGGCAGCATTGATAGATAGTACTATAATAGGAGAGAGATGAGTTAGACCTGTCTTTGCCTCAAATTCCTCACAGAAGGGGTAGGGGAAATGAACTCAACTAAATCTGGGACAATGATTTGGAGTATTTTCTATCTTGGAGGGAATAGATAAAATCTCATTTGGATAGGGAAGCAAGCCCTGGTACTCATCCTTCTATGGTCTGCTATGGCCAGAGATGCAACCATTCTGGAGAAAAAAAAAATTCCCTCACCTAAGGTGGTCAAAGTAACTTTTTTACCTCATTTCTCTCAAGCAAGGGTAGTAAGAAGAAGTGAAACAAAGATGGGCTTAGTGGGAGAAAGGGCAAATGCTGATCAGCCCTTTTCATAGCCCTCAGTTCCCTGTCCCCAAGCCTCTTCCCTGGCCCCTAGACATTCTTTCCTGTCTGACCACACTTGGCTGCTCTTGGCCCCTCACCTCTCCCTTACTTGGCCTGGCTTCTGTTTTGAAACTTGCTTTTCACTCTGAGCCACCACTCTAACACCTGTCCAGACATATCAGGGATATCTACAAACTTCTCAGGAACTAGCCCAGGCCAGGTCAGAAGGGATGACTTAGGACTAGAGAAAGAGCTTGCCTTTCAGAGTCTTTTTTATTGTCATAGAGATTCTTTTTCTCTCCCCATGTCTGGTTTCCCATGTTTCTCTTTGCCTCATGTCTTTTGCATTGTACTGCTTAAATTGGGTTATTCATAGGCGATGTGGTGAGGAGTGTTTGGAGCCACATACTACACATAGCATACCTTCCACAGTATCAATTGTAGTCTTTTAGAAAAACATTTTATTTATTTATTTTTAGAGAGAGGGGAAAGGAGGGAGAAAGAAAGAGAGAGACAAACAATGATGTGTGAGAGAAACATTGACCAGTTGCCTTTTGCAGACCCCCAACCAGGGACCTGGACCACAACCCAGGCGTGTGTCCTGACCAGGAATTGAACTGATGACCTTTCAGTGTGTAAGATGATGGCACACCAATCAGGGCTCAATTTTACTTTTAAGATTTGGTGGGGAGGTAATTTTTTTAAACTAAAACTACATAAATATATTCTATAGCATAAATAAAAATTTCCACTTTTTAAAGCTATAATACATACTTTAAAGGCATTTCTGACTTGTGACAGGCTACTTTGGACTGCTCTGGAAGTTCTGGAGAAAATGGTTCACTTTCCCTAATCTTAGGGGTCCTTCAGAGGAAATATTTGGAAAGTTCTACTTAGAGCAGAGGTGACCACTAGACAAGTGTCAGGCAGGCATAAAGAAAGGAGTTGAAGCAGGTGAGTGTAATGCAATAGGGAGTGGTGAGAACTGGCAAATAAGAGCCTGTCTGGCCCCTTCAGCTCCAGCAGGTTGATGCTTAAATGCCATGTGGGCTCTGTGTTACCAAATAAGATTGCTTTTTAAAAGAAGCCAGAACAGTAGATTTTAGTGAAAATTTGGTTTTTAAATGTTTATAAGCAATTCACATTTTTAGAAAGAAACAGTAC